CCTTCCAGAGCTGAGATATCGAATCTCAAAAATTCGACCCGAAAAAAAAAACGACAGTGGTACTCCTTACGTTTTTTTTTTTTCGGGCGAAAAATGAAGTGTCTCCAATCTTCTCAAAACTCTGGATTCTGATAGAGGGCCATGAGACTTAAACCTGAGTGCAAAAATGGAGGCTCTAGACCCTTCCAGAGCTGAGATATCGAATCTCAAAATTTCGACCCGAAAAAAAAACGACAGTGGTACCCCTTTCGTTTTTTGGTTTTTTTTTGGGCAAAAAATGAAGTGTCTCCAATCTTCTCAAAACTCTTGATTCTGATAGAGGGCCATGAGACTTAAACCTGAGTGCAAAAATTGAGGCTCTAGACCCTTCCAGAGCTGATATATCGAATCTCAAAATTTCGACCCGAAAAAAAAACGACAGTGGTACCCCTTTCGGTTTTTTTTTTTTTTTGGGCGAAAAATGAAGTTTCTCCAATCTTCTCAAAACTCTGGATTATGATAGAGGGCCGTGAGACTTAAACCTGAGTGCAAAAATGGAGGCTCTAGACCCTTCCAGAGCTGAGATATCGAATCTCAACATTTCGACCCAAAAAAAAAAAAACGACAGTGGTACCCCTTTCGTTTTTTTTTTTTGGGCGAAAAATGAAGTTTCTCCAATCTTCTCAAAACTCTGGATTCTGATAGAGGGCCATGAGACTTAAACCTGAGTGCTAAAATTGAGGCTCTAGACCCTTCCAGAGCTGAGATATCGAATCTCAACATTTCGACCTGAAAAAAAAAAATGACAGTGTTAGCCCTTTCGTTTTTTTTTGGGCAAAAAATGAAGTGTCTCCAATCTTCTCAAAACTCTGGATTCTGATAGAGGGCCATGAGACTTAAACCTGAGTGCAAAAATGGAGGCTCTAGACCCTTCCAGAGCTGAGATATTGAGATATTTATAATGGCATAAATGCTACGTGCAATCTCAATATCTCAGCTCTGGAAGGGTCTAGAGACTCCATTTTTGCACTCAGGTCTAAGTCCCATGGCCCTCTATCAGAATCCAGAGTTTCAAGAAGATCAGAGAAACTCAAAATTTCGACCCTCCCAAAAAAACGACAGTGGTAAAATAGTTTTTATCATGAAAGAAACTTAAATTAAAATGTCCAAAAAAACACTACCCAAATCCCCATTTAATAGACTGCAGGCGGGATTCTGTCCAATTGCAGCTTATTGCATGAAGGCCGGGGTTAGTACTTTTCAAAAATAGTGGGTTATTGGACAAATAGTGTGTTCGTGGACAGTGGAATTATGGGATGGTGCTTGGTGCCACAGACTCAGGGGGCCCCTCTGAGTGCAGTTAAATGGTTTTCATCATGACTGGAACTTTAATTATAAAATGTCCATCAAATAAACTGTCTGAATCACTATTCAATAGATTGCAGGTGGGATTCTGTCCACTTGCAGTTTATTGCATGAAGGCCGGGGTTAATACTTTTAAAAAAATAGTGGGTTATTGGACACATAGTGTGTTCGTGGACACGTGCTTTTATGTGGTTTTCTCAAAAAACACATAAAAAAGAGGGAAAAAAAGGGAAAAAAAAGAGGATCAACAGTGGAAGCTCCAGTGGTTCAGTGGTTTGAGGGTTGCTCCATCATGTGGAGGATTTGGGTTTAAATCCCACTCTTTGCATTAAAATGCTTTATTTTCACTGGTTTTGTCCAAATAAAAAAGACAAACCCCCAAATAAAGAGGCATAAGACTGGAAGCTCCAGTGGTTCAGTGGTTTGAGCAATGCTCCATCATGTGGAGGATTTGGGTTCAAATCCCACTCTTTGTATTATTTTGAACGGTTTTGTCCAAATAAAAAAGACATGCCCCCACAAAAAGAAGAGCAATAGTGGATGTTCCTTTGGCTCAGTGGTTTGAGTGTTGTTCCATCATGTGGAGGATATGGGTTCAAATCCCACTCTTTGCATTAAAATGCTTCATTTTGAACAGGTTTGTCCAAATAAAAAAGACATGCCCCCACAAAAAGAAGAGCAATAGTGGATGTTCCTTTGGCTCAGTGGTTTGAGTGTTGTTCCTTCATGTGGAGGATATGGGTTCAAATCCCACTCTTTGCATTAAAATGCTTCATTTTGAACAGTTTTGTCCAAAAAAAAATACATGCCCGCCAAAAAAGATGAGCAGTAGGGGAAGCTCCAGTGGCAAAGTGGTTTGAGCATTGCTCTAGCATGTGGAGGATTTGGGCTTAAGTCCCACTCTTTGCATTAAAATGCTTTATTTTCACTGGTTTTGTCCAAATAAAAAAAAAAAAATTACCCCAAAATAAAGAGGTGTAAAAGTGGAAGCTCCAGTGGCTCAGTGGTTTGAGTGTTGACCCTTCATGTGGAGGATTTGGGTTTGAATCTCACTCTTTGTATTAAAATGCTTCAGTTTCACTGGTTTTGTCCAAACAAAAATGACATGCACCCAAAAAAAGAAATCTTCATGTGGAAGTGCCAGTGGCTCAGTGGCATGAGCGTGTTCTCCCGTCGGGAGAGTCCTGTTTCGAGACTGGACACAGAAGTGTGGATGCGTGGAGCAAAAGCTGCAATGGAGACATGAGATCAAGTCTCACTTGACTTTAATAACTGATTACGTTGTATTTAATGGTTGTTTTTCTATGTATTTATTTTTTTGCAAAATAATTTTATCAGATGAACTCCTTAACCAAGTTTTAAATTTAGTTTTCTCTTTTATTTAAAAAAATATATAGGCCTATATATATATATATATATATATATAGACGGCTGACAACTACAGATCAGGAATAATCAGAAGTCTATCAAATATAATTTGCTGATTTATCGAGGTTTATAAAAAAGCACAAACAACTGTCAGGTGAATATTACGCCTTTTTTATTATAGCAAATATGCAAGTAAATAAAAAAGAAGACACTGTAAATAAACACATGCCCTTTAATACCACAGTCTAATTATTAATACATTAAATAATGACAGTTTTCACCTTGGTAGACGTTTTGAAATGTTGAGGATTTTCTTTTGTCATTTGTATGTACATATCATATTGCTTTGCTCGTGTTGAATCCATCAGTCTTCTAATATTAAAGCGGTGTCCGGATGGGGTTTTTGGGTCTGTTTACAAAGAGAGACGGTTTCAATATTCAAATAACTGTACATAGTACCAGCGTTTAGGCCTGATGAAGTGTGTCACCCGTGTCCTGAATGCATTACAACAACATGTAAAGGAATCACCGTCAATATGCATCGTTTGAAAAGCACAACTTCTGTTACGCAAACTTTGATCATCATGTCATGGATCGACAGCATACATGTTTTATCCGCACCGGGATTCACTCTTTTGAATCTGAGCGCTCTGTGTGTTCTGGGTTTGTAAATGCACTGTCCTGGGAATGCATGCTGGGATTGCTCTCTCTCTCACTCACACACACACACACACACACACATGAAAGGGCTGGTTGGTCATTCCCTTTGTGACAGAACCAGATCTGGGTCAGTTCTGCAGAAGTAGTGGACACTTAATCAGACGACTGTGTTAATGAACACTTTCAGGAGTTTAAACTAGACTTTAGATGGACGAGGCAGAATGAGGGGTTTGTTTTTGATCAAGATATTTGGGTTGAGAAGAAACAGCATGTGTGAGTCACACACACACACACACACACTGGGGAGTTTGTTCTTCTGTTGGTCTTTGATCAGGTTTAGATGTAGTGTCCTCGACCCAGATCAGTGCTGTGATGATGAAGATGATGATGACCCGTGTCTACACTGGACTTGAGGCCAGACTTAGCAAGACATACATCATAAAAACAATCATGGAAAAATAGCAAAAATGTACACAAAACGCCACAACTTTGTATACATGTGGTTGAATAAAAAAAGACATAACCCTCCTATTGCCTTCAAACTTAAAGAAAAGGTTCATCGACTAAAAATCACGTTTTAATTTTGAATGATAAATATCACTGTATATGCACACTAGTGTTTTCAAGTTTGGGGTCAGAAGGTTATATTTATGGGTCATATTCTGTATGTAGTATAGTAGTGGGCAAAAGTGATGTTTGTTTTTAATGTCCCTACAAGTTCAATCAAACCTTAAAAATATGAGACACAATATTTTAAATATGAAGAAAAAAAACAAAACACTAAACTTGGTTAATCATTATTTAGCAAAAAAAAAGGCAAACTACAGCTACAGGTTTATTTTACATACAAAATAAAATATATTGAATTTATATATTTTTGGCCTGGACAAAAATTATGTTGGCACAATTCGGCATGTTTCATTGTGTTTTATATATATATATATATATATATATATATATACACTGTATAATATTTAAATAAAGGGTGAATATGTCAATTATACTGGGCCAGACATCACTTTTAGCCACTACTGTACATATACATACAGTATATAGACAATTACTGTATATATATATATATATATATATATATATATATATATATATATACTGTATATATATGGGTCACATTTAAACTGTTTGGACAATAGAAGGGTTAAATCCACTCGGTTAAAGAGCGCATTGCAAGCTGGCTTAAAAAAAAATTGTTATATGGCAATCAATTTATTATTTTTGCAAATACTATCTTTTTTCAGACAGACAGGGAATGTGTGCCTGAAGTGTGTATTTGTTTGTTAGTTTACTGTAATTTTACTGCAGTTTACTGTAGTTTAACAGTAGTTTACTGTAGTTTGCTGTAGTTTTACTGCAGTTTACTATAGTTTACTGTAATTTAACTGCAGTTTACTGTAGTTTACTGTAGTTTATTGAATTTTACAGCAGTTTACTATAGTTTACTGTAGTTTAACTGTAGTTTTACTGCAGTTTACTGTAGTTTAACTGCAGTTTACTGTAGTTTACTGTAATTTAACTATAGTTTACTGTAGTTTAACTGTAATTTAACTGCAGTTTACTGTAGTTTAACTGTAGTTTACTGTAGTTTTACTGTTTACTGTAGTTTCCTGTAGTTAACTGCAGTTTACTGTAGTTTAACTGTAGTTTACTGTAGTTTAACAGCAGTTTACTGTAGTCCAGTGTGTTATGAACTTCCCAACGTAACCGTCCTTGACTCTCGCAATCCCGCATCTCACAACATTTTGACGTCAAAAACAGAAAACGATCAACTTCAAACAATCGGAAAACCTGATAAACTGGGCTAATGAATAACGATTATTCATTCACAAAGATGGTTTAAAAATTAATGCATCATAGTTAGTTACCCTCATTCTGTCAGCACTCTCAAACTTGAGTCTATTTCCACTGAATCTTTAAACACACGGCGTCTGAGATGCATTTAAGTGCAAACGTTATGAACACTATGGATTTCCTCTAGACACAATCATATGTCTTCAACTTCCAATGCTTTGCCTCAGGATCCTTACATTTACTTTGTGACACACACACATACACACACACACACACTCTTTGTCTTTAGCTCAGAATTCTTTTGATTCAAGCATTAGAGAGCTTATAAAACTTTCAACTGTTTAACGATATGCTTAATGCTCTGGCTCACTCCATCACTGTTTCCTATTTCTCAAAGCCGGCTTTGCAAAACCCCATGTTTGCTAGCAGATCCTTCAAACATTGAAGCCTGAACGCATTAAACCCCAGACCGCTTCGGCCCCGTGGCTCCAGGGCGTAATAGTGTTTCTGCGAGCGCTGCCAGGAAAGTCTCTCAAACGTAATGCCTTCAGAACAACACTCCCATCATCCTTCATGTAACAACAGAAATAAACACAAAACTCCATCCTAGTACTGATAACCGCATACAACGGTGCTATACGGAGTGAAAAACTTTAGAAACAACAAGGTTGAAATGAAAAAAATCCATAGCGAGCGAGAAATCGGCCCTCGGCCTCGGAGTCGTTTTAATCACACACCGGAAGAGGGGCGTGGCCTGATTCCATATGCGTGAGGACGTCCTCTGATTGGTGGTTCGGGCGGAACAGGAAGTGACGCAGATCCTGTTGAAGATCTTTGGGTTTGTTTGTGTGTGTGTGTGTGTGTGCATTACATTCCCCTTGTAAACGCTGCGAGTCTGTGTGTGTGGAGGGGCCGAGGGCCTGAGTGTGTGCCTAGTCCAGCGGCTCCTGCTTTATCCTGATGGGTGTGTTCATGGACTGACTCCTCCTGTCCTCGCGACACAACACGTACTCGCTGAACTGAGACGAGTCGACTCCGCCGCCACAGGACGCGGACACACTGAAGCCCTTCTGGAAGAGACGCTCCAACACCTGAAACACAAGAACAAGCTCAAAACACACTCGCACATCTCATCATGTACACGAGGAGCGATCACAAGTTTGGCGTCAGGGAGAAGATTAAATCGAATACAGTAAAAATTGAGATATTATTACAATTCAAGGTTGCACTTTATTTGAATGTGTCCTCATTACAGTGTAATTGTATATGCACTGAGTAATAGTAATTAACTGTAGGATTAGAGTATGGTTGAGGGTTAGTTGCATGTAATTATATATTATTTATAGATATTACTATAGTAACTAGATGTAACAAGGACACGTTAAAATAAAGTGTTACCTAATTTAATATAACTGTTTTCTATGTGAATATACAGTAAAGTGTAATTTATTCCTGTGAATTTCAGCATCATTACTCCAGTCTTCAGTGTCACATGATCCTTCAGAAATCACTCTAATATGATGATCTGATGCTCAAGAAACACTTATGATTATTATTGTTTTGCTGCTTCATATTTTGGTGGAAAATTTTTTTTTTCTTCAGGATTTTATGAATTGTAAAAAAAAAAAAAAAAAAACAGCATTTATTTGAGGTTGTAAATGTCTCGACTGTCATTTTTGATCGGTTTAATCATCCCGTCCCGGAGACGAGTTCACTCAGGAAAGGACTGAGCAGAGACGTGTTTGGGTGATTTAGTTTGGTTGTAACTTCAGGAGAATGTGGTCGTCATTCTCATAAATGAGTGTGTGTAAACAGAACGAGATTAAACATTCAGTAGAAGAGTGTCAGCCATATTTAACTGAGGTACGAACGTGCTTACAGAGAAAAAACCTTTGTGTGTGTGTGAGAGAGAGAGAGAGAGAGAGAGAGAGAGAGAGAGAGAGTGGCTCTGTGTCATGTATTTGTCAGTAGAGCTTCTCTCTATCTCTGTGTGTATGTGTGTGTGTGTGTGTGTGTGCAGTGGCACATCTGTCAGTTTGATGAAAGTTCACGAGTGTCCGAGTTGATCCCGGTCTTCCATCACTCTGAGATATGGCCAGAGCGGGACAGCTTCAGCTCTGGGACACTATGAGTGTGTGTGTGTGTGTGTGTTTGGCTAAATGTTTTTCCTTTCTGAAGTGTGTCGTTCGCCCCTCTCACTTCCTCAGTGTCTCAATCTCACTGCAGACTCATTCAATCTCTTTGGATTGTTCTTAAGTTCCCGTGATTTTTCAGGTTTATTAGTTTCTTCTCTCACTTTTTCAAGCTAAACGAGCCGGTTTCTAAAAGCTGAAGCTAAACTGAAGTTACTAGAGCAAAAAAAGCTGGATTTTACAACTCGCCAGTAGCACCATGACTCTAATGTGCCCTTCATTTAAATAAATGTGCTTAATTGTATTTAATGTGCACTTCAGTGTATTTAAAAACCTGTACTTGCAGATAATATAATATTAATGAAATAAAAGGCCACTTAAGTGTACTTAAAGAGAGCAGTTTCATGACGCACTTAAGTACACTAAAAAAAAGCATTGATATGGACTAGATGTCACACAAGAGTGTGATTACAAATACATAAAAATACACAGTAAACAAGTTTCAATAGATATTTAAGATGATCTTAAAGTAATTATAAAATGACATATAAAGGTGTACTCGAGTGGGTCACAAAAGCATTCTTAAGTTCAAATAACTGCATTTAATCTAAACTTAAACGATTTAATTGCAACTAACATGCAATTATGAGAGTGAAAACATTCACGCTTAAAGTATAATATCTCTTATTTTAAACGTAAGTAGCATATTTATTTCTTATTATAAACCAGATTTGGTCAGATGCAATGTAGGGAAACACACACACACGTGCACACACACACAGTTGGTTAGTAGCCTAAAGTGATGATTCCACTAGTAATGAGAGTTGTATTGCATCATACAGTGAGACAGGATTATTGTGATATTCATATAATTATGAGTCAACCGACAGGAGTGTTGTGTTCGTCGTGTTCACTCCAGAAAAGAGAAAACACCCTTTCCACCTTAATCCTCCCAGCCGGGCTGAGACGGGGAACATGTCCAATCAGGATCGGCCGTCTCTCAGGTCATGAGGTCACTGATGCAATAATCATACTAATAACTATAGAAATACTGCTTTTTTAATTATTATTGTTTATTTTGTACCTTAATGTCATTTTTTCTCTAATTTTAAGCCTAATATTTAGCAAAAAAAAAAAAAAAAAAAAAACATAAATAAATAAAATCTAGTGAAAATCTGGTAAAAAAAAAAAAAAAAAAAGGCACATGCAAACCGATCTGAAAAGGCTTCTGTAAGGGTCATGTTTAGGGTCAAGTGCCTTGTTTGTAAGGTTGTGAATATAAAATTTTTTTTTAAAGAAATGAATACTTTTGTTCAGCAAGGTAAAATTGTTCAAAACTCAAGACATTTATAATGTTACAAAAGATTCTATCACAAATAAAAGCTGTTCTTTTACACTTTTTGTTGAATCCAGAAAGAACTGCAGTTTTACAAAGCATTATTGTCCCTATCAAGCGTTCCTTAGCACTAAAGCAATCAGAATACATTTACATCACAATTATTCCCGATCCCAGCTAACAGCGAACTTCACAAACCTTCTTCCAGTAACGTTAACGTTCGTTCAAAGTGTAATAATTGTTTCCTGAACCTTTTTTTAAATGTTACTAGTTTTAGAATGTTCAGAGAACATTCAAAAGTAACAATCTCAAAATGTTTGCAAAATGGAATGTTCCCTTAATATGACAGTTAAAACATTTCAAAAACTGGAACATTCAGAAATAACGTTTTAACGGGAACTTTGGCTAGTGTGAGAGAAAACATGATTATAAATATATTTCAATCATTATTGAGAAGTATAATGTGTGCATTTTAGAGCATTGCATCATTGGCTTTAGCAGCAGTCGTGTGTGTGTGTGTGTGTGTGTGTGTGTGAACAGTTCTGTTTGAAAGATAGCAGCTTCAGCAAGAAACAGAGAAACGAGCTTCAGTCACTTCACAGAAATCAACTCGTTTTAGAAAAGAAATAGAGCGAGCAAACAAAGAGAGGGCAGAGGGAGACTGACTGAAACTGTTGTGTTAGTTGATGCAGCCAATTAATTATATTGCAAGCCATTTAGAAATCTATAAAAGAAGCATAAAGGGGTTGAGGCTGTTTGAGAAAGTGTAAGTATGGTATTAAAAAATGCAATACGTGTGTTTCAACCGCTCTGGGCGTTGTTACGTTGGAGTCTCTTTTAAAAGGGAAGAGCTGTGTCTTAAAAAGGAGAAACGTGTAAATTATGCATTTCATTTTCTAACCTCTCCTTTCTTCTCGCTCTTGCCTTTTGTTTTTGAGGGAGTGAAGAATTATGGCTGCACATAAAAAGCCGTTGAGTTGCGTGTTTTACTCGAGCCTGAGGGGGCGCTGTCGAGGTGTGTGTATGTTCGGGTTAGTTCAAACACAGGTTGAGCCTCAAATCTCATTAACATATATCAGAGATGAAATGTATGAAAATATTGGTTATAGTAACCAAAATGATCACGATTATCAATATTATCACGGTATTGTGCAGGAAATGTTCAGAATACAGTGAAATCAAGTTGTCGAAAAGCAACAAACAACATGAAATAAGATAATAACAATAAAATGAGCTTGTTTTGTTTGCATTAACATTAGAATAATAATATTATAAATGATGGTGGGATTTTAAATGAAGAAAAAATATTGGTTTTATTGATGTACAAATGCAGTTTTGATTAAAAAAAATGATAAACCTCACGTTTCAGGCCTATGAAATATGTTTTTCCCCTCTTAAAGGGACAGTTACGGGATATAACGATTGTATTCATCATATACACCGAGGATGACAAGAGGGAGAGGAAATCATGGGGTAATTTTCATTTTTAGGTGAACTATCCCTTTAAATTTAGTTAAAATGTTTGTGTTTTTTGTTGTACGTTTACTGAATAGCATTTTAATAGTTTAATTAAATGTTAATGATAAAAAGTATGTCTAATGAATTGAATTCATAAAGCAACAATTTTAATAATTTAAAACACAAATCAGAAATTATGTGTATTTTAACAAAACATTAATTTGATTTATCTCTTAACCATATGAAATTAAACTTTTTGATAATTCCATTAAAAAAAGTACGTTTTAATAATAATTTAATATTATTGTTATTAATGTTAGTATTATTATTACATCGAGATCTGTACAATTGTAATATATTTCTGCCACAAATTCTTCAAGTTAAACCAAACTTTTATTTTGACGGGTTGCCATGACTTTTTATGACTGGATTTCGTGATTTCGTCCATGTTTTCGGTATTGCGGTAATCTTAGTGCCCTATATGGGTTTCCACAAAAATCTGAAGCACCAAAAACTGTTTTCAACATGATAATAATAATCATAAATGTATATTGAGCATCAGATCCTCATATTAGAGTGATTTCTGAAGGATCATGTGACACTGAAGACTGGAGTAATGATGCTGAAAATTCACAGGAATAAATTACACTTTACTATATATTCACATAGAAAACGTTTTTTCACTGTTTTTACTGTATTTTTGATCAAATAAACGCAGACTTGGTGAGCAGAAAGACTTCTTTACAGACCTCAAACTTTTGATTTTGGTTAAATGAGATATTAAGCTATTTTTTATATCAATCAAGTCAGGACTAAACCTGTGATGCTGAAAGATGCTGTCTAGATAGGCAGCACTACTATCTAGTGATGATGACCTCGTTATTTATTCCAGCATTGACACTGATTGTCTTAAATCCGGCCAGATAAAGACTAAACGCAACAAAGCGTCCTGCATGCTGTCAGCACACCAGTACACACCAGTACAGTAACCCAGAGATGTGCTTACCTGCACTGAGTTCAGTCTGCAGTATCCGTTCAGGGGGAAGCGGATGACGTGCGTGGGGTCCTGGTTCCAGCCGGCGTTGACCGAGTTACACATGACGTCGCCGGTCTCGGGGAACACCTCCTCGATGAGCACCTTCTCGCCGCTGAGGGCGATGCGCTCGCCGAGGTCAGGGGTCACGCGCACCACCAGGCAGTCGCAGGGTTGAGCCAGGCGCCTCTGCTCCCGATCCTGCTTCCAGCGCTCCAGCTCCTTGATCATCGGAGACAGCTGGTAATAACGCGCCTCCTCGTACAGCAGGTGGAACTCCTGCAACATTCAAACATTGTCAAAAAAAGAGATAATACTTCTCAATTAATGTTTATGCTTTCTAGATCAGATACAGTCACCGACTATGAGTGAGGGTGATGCTTTTGCCGCAACGCCACTAATAAATAAAAAAGGCAGTAAATGAATGAATGTTTAAAAGGCGTGCGGGGGGCATGTTTGGCTCAGAGGGGCATCGGCTCGGCCCGCGGGTCACAGTCGAGACGTTTGGCAGGATCTCATGTGCTCGTTGGAGCCCGTCAGTGAAGGACCTCGAGGCTTCAGCGTTTCTGAATCCAGGCAGACAACAGCAGACTGCCAAACTCTCTCTCTCTCTCGCCCGCCCGCTCTTCCTCACGGGGATCTTGCCAGGGGTTTTTTGCCCCTTTCAGTTTTTCCTTAATTTCCCACAAGTCCAGATGGTACTATTCTTCCTCGTCTCTCCATCGCTGAGGAGCTGAGGTGTGGAAATGATCGAGTTCATCTGAGGATATGGTTTTGTGTGCAGAGTAATCTGCATAAAGATTGATATGAACAGTCCTGAACTACATGACTGATTGTATACGCAGGTTTCTCTGTGTGGAGGATCAACCGTTTGACACGCTAATAAAAGTCTCGTTTATATCCTTGCATGATGTAAACTACATTTCAACAGTTCACCTATATATAAGCAGATGAGATTTGCTATATTGGATTAATTGCACAAAATATTAACCATATTTTATCACACAGATCTGTAAAGTTGGATATAGAAGCTAGATATATATATATATATAGCACATCTCAACTTCTTGATTGCTTGAATCATCACGAAATGAAAACTATTATCACACAGATCTAGTATGCTGAACGCAGCTGTAGGCATTTAAGATTAGAAATATTAACATTATTATTTTTTGTAAAAGCGCTATACGCATAAATTTGACTTGAAAATTCGACTATTATAAAACACAACAATCAATTTCAGCTCTAATCTAAGCAGAAAATATTTTCAAATTGCATGCAATCCAATGCAATATAATATATTAAAATATAACTTTAGATTGTTTGATATCATTGCAAATGGACATTATTAGGGGAAAATGTGTATGAAAGTATTTATAACTGGTCAAGATGCATCTCTAACCTCCATTCGTGGATGGCTATTCAATATATTAATTTTATAATGTTTAACCTCTTAAGTGTCACCCCTTTTTGAATAGACATGAAAATGCACATTTCGAACTTAAATGATTGTAATTCAAGAATGCTTTGGAATATAGACTTGTTTTAAAGAAAACATTTGTAGGTAAATAAATTAAGAATGTGAAACAGAAAAAAAGTTGTAGAAGTTTGAGTTTATGGAAATGTACAAATGTAAAAAAAAAATAATAATAATATTTAATATAAAATATGTATTTTCTCAACCTGAACTACTCTAAAATTGCAGAAAAATCAAAGCCAAAAATCTGAATAAGTTGTGTTTAAAATTTTAGTTTAATATTTAAAAAAAAGAGCTTTCTGTGAGATTTTGTTTGGGCGCAGTACCGAACGCTTCCACTAGCCACAACCTCTAAGAAACACACACAAAGAACAAGCGTGTGCGTTAGAGCTTCCTGCCACATCACAATTTTTTTTCTTAATATTTAAAACATTTTTAGACCTTTCTATTTCTAAAATAATTGAATGAGTGCAATCTTTATAACTCTTGGCATGAAAACAAACTGATTTTCATGATTTTTCATGTTCATTGCTATTTCAAAATAAAGGTCTGCAAATGCTTTATGAGTATGAAAATATTCTTGTTGCAAATTACAGCGCCTGTGTAATTTATTTTGAAAAGCAGTCACCAAATATGGAAACTAGAGATTGTAAGCTTTCAAATGATATATAATTAGTAGGGCTGTCAAACGATTAATCGCGATTAATCGATTCCAAAATAAAAGTTTGTGTTTACATAGCCTAATATATGTGGGTGCACTGTGTATAATTATTTTATATATATAAATACACACACACATGCATGTATATTTAAGAAAAATAAATATTATTTATATATAAAATGTTTATATTTATATATAATATAAATTATATATAAATCTATATACAGTATATACATGAAAATATTTCTTTAATATATACAAGCATGTGTGTGTATTTATATATATAATAATTATACACAGTACACCCACATATATTATGTAAACACAAACTTTTATTTTGGATGCGATTAATCTTGATTAATCGTTTGACAGCCCTAATAATTAGTCAATATCACTTAAGGTCTTTTCAAAGATATTATTATTTTAAAAAATATATAATGGCAAACCTGTGGGACGTCACGTGACAGTTAAGGGGTTAAAATCATTGTAAGTGGACATTATAATGGAAAAAGGTATATGACACGTCTCTGACCTCTATAACATGGATAGTTCTATATACGTAAGAATTAGACTATTATAATAATGTTTTACATGTCAGAGCTTTAATCTAAGCAGAAAATGCATGGAAAAAAAATTTCGAAATCAATGCAAGAGGACATTCCAGAGGGAAAAATGTAAATGAAAGTATATCTAACTTCGGATGGGACACGTCTCTAACCTCCACATGTAGATTGTCTTATTTCTTTTCTTTTGCCCTTCACACTGCAGATGACAGAACGCATGCGGTGCTGGAGGGAACGAGGGAACGCTACGGTATCCTCGTGCGCCTGGATCTCTGTTTTCAGCAGGACTCGTTCTCACACGATACAAGAGAGGTGAAGAAAGAAAGACGATTCGCTACCCTGAATTCCCATGTTCAGGCGATCCGACAGGCCTGTTGTGATCCAAAATAATGATCTTACTCGATTGCCCATCGGCAAGACAACATCTCACAGACAGACAGAGAGAGAGAGAGAGAGAGAGAGATCCCCCCGTCTCCATCTAACACATATAAGAGATGACCATTTCTCTTTGATTTCAGTCGAGCACATGCTGATGTAGAGGTCAGATCCGTGACACAAACCTCTTTACGGTCTTGCTCATCATGAACGATTCATGTTATTCTGAAAGCAAGACGTGTTTTATAATCGCTGCTCGTGGTCACAAACAGAACAGAATGCTTTATTGACTCGAGCAGCTTGACAACAGATAATCTCTGCTACAAATGAGGCTTTTTTCACTGATAGATGCAAAGCATATTCCACGTTCACATTGATTTAGCGTAACGCAGGCCGCCGCGGGCCATGACAGTCACGATGCCTCACGGACACGCTTCACACCGCCGGCTGCCGCTCGCATCTCGGTCTGATTTCACACACATTGATCATCAGATCAAACCAGTCCAAACGGGGCTCTTTGTCCAACTCGAGAGAGGAAAACAAAGCCAATCCAGATCAAGATTAAAAGACGTAATCATATTTCTGTGTGTTTGTGTACACAATGTTTCAAAGAAGCTTTACATTAAATGCTATGTACACTCTCAGAAAAACTTTTCAAGAGGTAAACTTTTGACCATTTTAGGTGCTAATAATTACATTTTAATTGTTAATATGTCCATTTTAGGTCTTGATATGTACATTTTAGGTGCCAATATGTACATTTAAGGTGTTAATATGTACATTTTAGGTGCTAATAAGTACATTTTAATTGTTAATGTCCATTTTAGGTGTTAATATGTACATTTTAGGTGCTAATAAGTACATTTAAGGTGGTAATAGGTACATTTTAAGTGTTAATATGTACATTTCGGGAGCTAATGTCCATTTTAGGTCCTAATATATTAATACCTAAAATGTAGTTATTTGCACCTAAAATGTACATATTAGGACCTATATGTACATTTTAGGTGCTAATAAGTAGGCTACATTTAAGGTGTTAAAATGTACATTTTAAGTGTTAATGTGTACATTTCGGGAGCTAATTATGTTAATTTTAGGTCCTAATCTGTATATTTTAGGTGCTAATACGTACATTTTATGTGCTAATATGTCCATTTTAGGTCCTAATACATAGATTTTAGGTGCTAATATGTACCACTAAGGTACCAATATGCAGCCTTTGGGTACAAAAGTGTACCTTTTGAAAAGGTACAGCCCCAGTGACAGCTTTTGTACCTTTTTTTATGAAAGTGTATTGTGACGTTTGAACTGAATGTGCCATATGCAATATTCATAAATATGAATTCAAGTCATTTCCGTGGTTCAGATGTATGAACCTAATTTGCTCATACAGGGAAAACACTGCAATGTGACACACAATCACAGCCAATCAGAACGTATTTGATACTTATATATATATATATATATATATGGACCAATAATATTGTACTATGGGCGGGGCTATCAAAATAAAAACCAAGAAACTAAAAATATGTCCTGATCTTTGTCTTTTCATTTGATTGCAGCTGGACAAAACAAAACCTCAATATTGCATGAAAGCGCTGTTATTACTAGTCCTTTTTTAAGGATTTGACTGGTTAGGACTATGCAAGTATGTGAACACACATTTACCTAGAAATGCTACTCAAATTTGTATATTGCTGCCATTTGCAATGCACTGCATTCTCAGTATTGCCACAGGTGGCGCTATAGCGGACATAAGCAGCTCTTCTTCTACCGTCTCAGACTACATGTGTACAGCTTAAGGGAAAGCAAAGCCACATTTGAGAATACTTTAATGTCTCTCAGAAAGCAACGAGATTGAATGAAGAGCTAATAGCGATTATATATTGTATCCCAACATACAATGTATATTTATCGACCGTCCATTTCCAGTGTGATGATGAATCTATATCAACAATCATTTTCTAACATATACAGGTGAAACACGAAAAATTAGAATATCATGCAAAAGTTTCAAACTTAAAAGGTGAAACTAATACATTATATAGTAATAATACAGCTTATGAAAAGCCCAGATTCAAAATTAGAATATTGTGAAAAGGTTTTCATAAGCTGTAAGCCATAATCATCAAAATTATAACAAATAAAGGCTCCTTTCGCTTGATAAGACCCTTATTCATCGTCTGGAATCGTTTAAAGCCCTTTGAACAGTTTGCACTGAAACTGTCTTTTGAACCTTGAACCGTTTGGTCCCCATTAAAGTCCATTATATGGAGAAAAATCCTGGAATGTTTTCATCAAAAACCTTCATTTCTTTTCGACTAAAGAAAGAAAGACATGGACATCTTGGATGACATGGGGGTGAGTAAATTATCAGTCATTTTTTTTATATATAGTAATTTTATAGTAAAAATGATAACAAATAAAGGCTTGAAATCTCAATGTAATGAGTCTATATAATATATTAGTTTAATCTTTTAAGTTGAATTACTGAAATAAATTAACTTTTGCTCCATATTCAAAAAAATGCATCAAATAACTCTTTAAATTGATATAACACATATGACAACATCATGGCATGCTGGATACTGTCTCACACACTCCTTTGCTCAATAGTATGCAGTGTTTACTGTAGTACACTATTGCAAAAAGCGAGTGAATCTGGATTTTTCCAGAAGAACATGTTTCAGACTAAACAATCCTTGATTTTGAATACCTTAAAGTCATCAGGCAGGAGCAGTTTGCAGGTTCTCAGGAAGCTGAGGATATAGCGGAATATCTCTCCGTCTCTGTCGATGAAGTAATGCTGCTTTAAACTGTCCAGAACGATCGGCTCGGTTCCGTTAAACAGCCTGCTGATCCTGAAAATTAACACACACACACACACACAGTTAATGGAGCGAGGCCAGCCTCCTTTAAATGCATGAAACAATTAGCATTTATTTTCAATTTTATTAGTGCCCAGCCAAAAACGCATTAACGCTCGGTTCTGAAACAAGAGGCTTTAGGCAGATTTCAGGGGCTGAGAATAGAGTCCTTCTCTACAATGAGCCGAAAACCCTTCAATGTTTTATCATCTCAGCTGTCACAAGCCAATTAAATAACTCCCACGTAACACCATGATGTCAGGAAGTAAAGCAGGACAGTCATACGAGCCTATGATGCGCATTTGCATAATGATAGGGCTTTGTTAAAGCAACGAGTAACTATAGTTGAAAGTTTCCTTTGCAACAAATCCTGAAGATTAAAAACCCCATGTTGAGTCTGGACACTTTTGTGATCAACAAACCCCTGTATTGATAATTTAGCAAACACACACACACCTCCCAGCTAATACAAATATGATATAAGAATGTTCTCATTAAGAACATTTGAAAACATCCTTTAAAAAAAAAAAAAAAAACGGTATTTCTTGAAACGGTATCAAAGAAACATTCCATTTTACCGGTATATTCTTTAAACATTCCGGGATTGTTACTTTTGAATTTTGAACATTCTAAACATTGTGAATATTCTAAAACTGTAACATTTAAAAACACATAGTGTAAGATGAAGCTCCAGCTAAAAGCAATGTATAAATAACGTTTCTGATCTAAATATCAGAATATGTAAATATATAAATAAATATCTAAATATGTATTTTGTCATTTCTAAAAATGAAAGATAACACAAGCGCACTTGCAAGCAAAAGTTTTTCACCGTAAAAAAGAAGATAAAATGAAATTTCTTACACTTTAAAAACATTTTCATCAGAGTTTGTGAGTCCATCACCAGATAAAAACAGCAAACGTTTATAATACATTATAATGCATTCTACTATATGCTACCATAAAAAATACCGTTTTTATACTTACTTTATTGCTTATTAGTCAAATCATAACATCGAATCAGTCACTTGTGAGGTTGCATGATAGTCAGGATGCTCAGGTGTGTGTGTGTGTCCATAAATATCTCAATAACACATTCTCCTACTAAACCTACTAATATCCAACATTGGTATCACTTTACAATAAGGTTCATTAGTTCAGATTAGGAAATAAAAATGCACTGTAAAAATGAATATGCTTTGTCTAATCAATAAAATGGCAACAGATTACAAGCAATATCATTAATTAAGTTCAACCAATTAGAATTGAGTAATACTTAATCAAAATATTCCTTAAAAGTTAAGTGTAAAGTTTACACCAAAAAATTCAACAAAAATATCTGAATAACAGACAGATGTCAAAACCGTCATTTTAAAGCAAACCTAAAACTAACACTGAGCAGCATAATGGTGACTTTAACATAATTTCTAAAAAATGTTTTACTCATTTTAAATGGTTAACTTTTAATGAATTAATTTGATTAATTCTATTGTTAAATTTAATTAATAATATTGCTTGCAATCTGTTGCCACAATTTTTTTGATTAGATAAAGCGCGTTCATTTTTACAGTGACAATGCGTAATATTAAGTTCAAGAATTTATTAATCTTGTTAATGTTAGTTAAGCTGTTCATTGTTTGTTCATAAACTAATGTTAATTTTAACAATTAGTAAACGTGGAAGTTAAAATTAAGTAAGATTAATAAATGCTGTCGAAGTATTGTTCATTCATGTATCTTAATGTAAAGTGTAACCCAAACATGTTTTGCACACTGAATACCTGAACATATCTCCATCTTTCTGCATGTCTCAGTTCTCTCTGAACTCTGATAGGATCAGCATTTCCTTCCGTTCCCGATGCAATCTCCCCTCTAATCACTACAGTTCCTGGATCAGCTGAAGAAGAAACCTACAGCCTTGTCAAAGCCTAGCAGACGTTTACTGAGCGACTCGGCGAGAGGAAGTGCTTTACAACACACACACACACACACACACACTTCATTGAGCTCTGCAGGTGTGTGTATCGTGGACCTGTGTAATTCATACACTCTTCCACGCAAGTCTCGTCACCTTCTGCACTTTCCAAAGCTCTTGTTTTCCCTGTTGTTTCCTTCTCTCTCTCTCTATTCCCTCCCTTTGGAAATCGATGCAAAATGCTTTATAAAAAACCAATACTCATCTCCCTGTATCGCCTGCGGCCGTCCTTTCTCATATGGTCTTGCAATTCTTCCAGCTAGAGTTTCACCATGCCCCTCCAGGCAAACACTGTTTTTCATCTGCACTTTTTTTAAAAAGCAATTAAAATGCTGCCTGTTTTTCTTTTCTTCCTCCTCTCCCCCCACCCGTCTCTCTCTCTCTCTCTCTCTCTCTCTCTCTCTGGCTCGGTTCACACGGCAGGGAATACGGTTGTCAGACTCACTCAGAGCAGTAAATACGGTTCTGTTCACACACTTTGACTATGATGGCGAGAGACAACAATGTGTGACGTCACATGAAGGCGATTCTTCAACTTTTGACGGTTTGAAATGGTGAAAAATGAAACTTCTTCAAAGTATGATTTATCGGTGTTGAAATATTGATCACATGTTCTGAATAAAGATCTGGCCTTGATCAACCTTCAGATGGATTGGAGTATTTTTTGAGATTCGGAAGTTAGCTAGCATTCAACTCTGAAGCCTTAAGTACAGAAACAAATATATATTTTTAACCCTAAAACCGTATTCTGGACAAATGTGGGCAAAATAGTTTTGATTTATTTTTTAAAAATACTTCCCTTGATCTGAGCGGTACAAGACTTGGCTACTTTTCCTAAGTTTGCCTCCTGAACACACACAATTTTTTTGGACTCAATTCTACAATGTTAAGTGGGTGAAAACAAAACCTCCTTTATCTTGTATTTGGGACAAAAATGGGCACCCATAGAAATTAATGGGAAAAACTGTAATTTAGATCAGTCTAAAATGAGCCAAAATAAGACACCAGTGACAACAAAGTCACTTCATCTTTAGGTTTTAGCTCTAAGAACTTATTGGAATAATATTTTAATAGTTGAAATAAAAAAAAAAATAAAACAAGTAAATAAATGAAGTAAATAAATTCAAATATACCCCCAAAATACAAAAAATCACCATAAATGGATAGACAAAACTTTATCAAAGACAGTGATGTAACATTTATAATAAATAAAAATTAGGATCACACCTGAGTCCTCTGTGCCCAAATTTGTCCACAATTACAGGATTAAGGGCTATAAATTGAATACGGTTTGAGGGCTACAAAAAAAAAAAAAAAAAAAAAAAATGTTTATAACTTCAGAGTTGAAGTCTTAAGTCTTAAAAATATATATTTTTTGTAAATTAAAAAAAAAAAATTAGAATCATTTAGTGCTTTG